GATTCAAAATCCGTCACAAAATCCTAATTTTTTATTTTTACGAATTTTTAAATAAAAAATAATTAAATTATTCCAGATTTATTAATTATACAATATATATTATTTTCACTTTTTTTTTCTAATCTACAAGTATTAATTATTAATTTTCAGATAATTGACAGTGGTAAGATTCGAACCCCTTACCTTCTACTCATTCTAACCTTAACACTTTTTCTCCAACCATTTGAGCGATCTTATTAGTTCAGTACTTATTTAACGTCTAATGAAAATTATAGGTTTGTTTATGAAGTAAATGAATTTTCTATACTATCAATAGACAATTGTTAGTGCCAACCGTGAAATATTTGATGATTAATTTTTGTTGAATAATTCGGTTGTTTATATTGATTGAGAAGTAAGTTCGACTTTTTTGATAACTAATTTTTTCCAAGTAATCTGGTCGAGTATTTTTAGCCTGTTTTTCTTTCTTAACTTTTTTTTTTTTTTTTTTCATTTGCATATCTTGAATCCATGACTTAACAAATTGAGTCCGTTTTCACTTTGATCAATGGTTTGTTGGTTAAGTTTAATTCTTGATAATACTAACAAGAACGAGTCCAGTGAATAATACATTTTTCTTGTGGATCTAGCTAAGAATTTGGTGAATATGCATGAGATAATGAATTCCTTTGTCTGGAATTATAGAGCCCAAGAGCAAGACTGTGCCTTCGTGCAGCAGCAGAGTTGGAGGCAAGGAGATGTGACAACGAGAACAAACTGAATCAGAAGAAAGGCTTTGTTGAGGAAAAAATGAAGGAGCTTCAGAAATACAGAGAATTATGGGAGCATCAGAAAAAGGGTTTCTACGACGGCTTCAGGGAGCACAAGAAAGCCGAAGATTTCAAAGCAAACGTGACAAGGCTAGACCTGGCAAGTGTGTTTGATGAGATGATAGAAAAGCTAAGAAGTTACGAACTCCCAGATGAGTTCGAAGGGAAGAAAGAATGGATTGATCTTGGAACAAGGTTTAGGCAACTAGTGGAGCCTCTAGATGTTGCAAACTATTATCGCCATGCAAGGCATTACGAGGATGATCATTCTTCTTACATGGTTAAGGGAGGAAGGCCAAGCCGTTATAGGTACCCTCAAAGGTGGTTGGAACATGCTGAGAGAAGACCACATCAAGTTATCTCAGAATCTTGTTTCTGGGGTGAGGTGGAGGAAATTGGGTACAAGACAAGTAACGGTAATGGGTCGTTTGAGGATGTTAAGGAGAGGGTTGAGAGATTAGAGACTCAGATCAAAGGATGGAGTGTGACAGGGGTTTTGGCTAAGGATGTTTTGTTGGAGGGTTCTACCTTTGTCAAGTGGTGGAAAGCTTTGCCTCAACATCACAAGGAACAATCATGCATTAGAAATCTTATTTGAGAGTGACACGATACGAGACAAACATGCATTCCAAGTTTACTCTCAGCTTGTGTCTTGCCTGAGAGTGAACGTTTTTGTTTTTGTTTCTATTGTTTTCTTATTTATTTTCTTTTTTCTTTTTTGTTGGTTACTTCTCTTCTGTGGTTTGTCATAAACATCATGAGCTTTCTGTCTGTTCTCTTCTGTGGTTTGTCATAAAAATATTTTTTTAATTAGACTAATTAATTCATCTCGAAGAGTCTTAATTAGAATATTTAATATCATACAATGTCTTTTGTAATCATATAACATTAACATGGAAATAGGCATTCCGTGCCTACATAAAAAAATTAGTGTTTTTACAAAAAACAGAAAGTGAATAATTATTATTTTTAAAGAGATTAGTTGTATTTTTTTTTGTATATATATATATATATATTATTTTATCTTTAAATATAAATTAGTAAAAAAAATAAAATAAAATACAACACAAGAATATAATTATCTTTAAAAAAAATACACCGAAATATTCTTTTTATATATTATTATAAATATATAATGTGAAACAATACGGTGAATTAGACACTTCCTCATAAAATGTAACCAATACTATATTAAAGGGTTGATCACATGAAAGACATGTTATTATAAGTGTCATCCTCAAAAAAGAAAAAAACATTACTATTGAGGAATCTTGATGTTTATAGAATACTGTTTAACTAAAAATATGAAAGTGTCACCCACTCACACATGACTCAAAATGCCAACTTTTTTTTAAAATGCCAACTTAAAAAAAAAAAATTAATATCAAACGGTAACATTTATCGAGTATAATACGGATTAAGATTCAACTAAAAAACACACCATCTAAAAGTAATTCAATCTTGCCCAAAAGAGTAAAGTAATACATGTTTTTGTGTTGTCACAGAACACATGCATGGAATAAGGTTGTAGGATTCAGAAACGAAAAAAGATGAATGCAAAGAGATTTTGCAAAATGGTGCCCGAAATTAAAAGCATTCACACCCTACAAATTACGAATGCTAGAAGGGGTATTTAAAATTTTAGAGCCTTCAATGCATGGGTAAGAGAAATTTGCTTACAATGTGTTTATCTGCGAAGAAATGCCCAAAAAAATAGCATGGAGAGAGAAGAAATAATATTGTTCAAATAAAGTTGCATTATTTATTTAATATAAGATTTTTCAAAGAAGAAATTTGTAGATATAAATTCTATGTTTGTAAATTTTTTAAATTTTGAGGTCAAATGGCGAAGAAAACATAAAAGAGAGAAGACATCAATTTTTCTCACATTTTTATCTCTCTACTCTTTCATCCGAGTATGAAACACACTTCATTCGAATAAGTTACTGAAAAAAGCGAAGAAAACGACTCTTGCTCTCATAGTCTACCAAATTTGATTGTTTATATTTGGTACATCTAGTTGTTTTTGGCCGTTCGCGGAGGTGGACATTGTTCTTATTTGATGGGATTATTTTTGTAATATTTGTCTGAGAAAATATTTTATGAATTATTTTTATATGGTTATTACACAAGGATACTCCACAATGATAAGATATTGTCCGCTTTAAGTTTTAGCCCTCACGGTTTTGCTTTTGGTCATCACTCAAAAAGTCTCTCAATCATTGAAGTATGTTTGTGTTATATAAATCGTTATTTCTTGTCTTATTTTATCGATGTAAGACTTGTTTGTATCCCAACATTATTCGTATAGGTGGATGTTGTATTTGAATAGTTGGATTGTCCATTTAAATACTAGAGGTGCTTATTAGAATAGTAGTATGATGTATTCGAATACCATGTGTATTTATTCAAAGAAGTAATACTTCATTCAAAAATTACTTCATTTTATTTAAATATATAATCTACTGTTTGATTTTTTATTTGAATATGTTATAAGTTTTAATTTATTTTATTGGAATATGGTGTATTTTTATTCGAATGAATAAGAAATAAAAAAAATTGGTTCATAACACAAAAGGAATAAATTTTAATTTTTTTTATTAATTATAATTTGTTTTCTCTCGATCCATTTAAATTAAATAACTTCATAATATTATTTTTCTTATATTTCTTTTTACTTATTTCTCTTATACCAACCAACCTTATTTTTATCATATTTCTTATTTATTTCTATTCACTTATTTTTTTTTATCTTTTATTTTGTTTTTTTACTTTATTTTTCACATATCTCTCTCCTAACAATCAAATGCAGTATTAATGACGAGAATCATTTTGGTTCATGCGCACAATGTTCTCTGAACACTATTTGTAAAGTTGACTGTTTTCACTTTGAAATTGAAAGTTCTAATGGCTCTGATTATAACACATTTGAATTTTTAAATTATTTTTTTCATATAGATTTTCTTAATTTCTTAATCTGTTAATATATTTTTTAAAAATTTAAAAATGAAAAGGTTGAGCTGTGAGAGAGTGAAAATTGAGAGTTGTGACATGGTGGGTTCCTAAGAGAGAGGGGGTATAAAGGGTGACCTCCCTTACATCATCAACATGTGTGCTTATACCCAAGAGATTTCAAACCATGTGTTTTATATGTGCATCAAGTATACATTTACTTTGCATTTAACAGCCGTTGTGTTTTTGGGTTCAATAGATCAAAGTAAAAAAATGTTGGATTTTGACTTTGGCAACTCAAGTGAAAACTTTTCCAAATAGATTGGTTTATAAAGGAATTATTTATGGGTAAGAGTACCGTTTGCATTTTTGTTTTTTTGGGTATATGTATTGTGTTTATATTGAATTTGCTAAATTTTCCCTTTCTATATATGTAGCTTTATGATTTCCCTTCCGTTGCTTACATTTTGCATTTGCAGTGTATGATTTTTGCATTTTGTACATTATATTTGTTTCATATATGTTTTATATGTTAAGTCAGACGAAGTAATTTCCAGTAAAGTTTTAAATGAGACAAATATAATGCATATTATTATTTCTAACAAGAGTGATAATGTTTCAAATAAAAGACATAAGTACAGATAAGCTAGCTGAAGAACAAAGAATATACATGTGTCACCGTCTACACCAGAACTAAGAGATATGAGCTAAGCATCGGTTAAAGGTTGATCAAAAGAAGGAAATACATCAGACAAAGACACCCACAAACATAGACACAAAGGAAATAAATAACAGAGTACGAGCAACCAAGATGAAGGGCAAAAGCTAACAACACGTTAGATGAGGAGATCAAACGATCAAAGGATCAAACGAAACCAAGCCCAACACAAAAAGGAAAATAATGAAGGCTCAGATGATACAAGACCATGGATGATGGACAAAACTAAGTCAACGCATCCTAGACAGAGTCAAAAGCTTGCACAACTGACCAAACAAAGACTCAAATATATAGACGAAAACCAAGAATGTTGGATTGCGTCCGAAGTCACAACGAGAAGAACTACCTAGCATCCAGACTCTCAAAAGAACACATGAAGTCATCAAAATAGAAGAAGAGAGAAAAGAAAAATGAACTAGCACTTATCCACAAATCAAATTCGCATGTGTCAGAACAAGTACACCTACCAGTCAGCAAAGGACAACGCCTCTATAGCTATAATACCAGGAAAGTACAGAGATATCTAGGTCATGATTAATGCTAGACGTAGAAGCAAACAAATGGTACAAAAGATTTCGTGAAACGCAGATTCAGTAAGAAAACATTTAATGTAAGATCAAATGCATTAAATGCAAGAATCCATGAAACCTGTGTAAACTAAACAAGAGAATCAGATGATGGCTAGTCAAACATCAAAATTAGATCTGATCACAACATTCAACAAACACTAGATGAGGCCTACTACAAGTAAGAGACATTGGAGGATCAGAAGAAAAGCCAAAACAAGACCAAACCTAGAACAAGAAAAGCTGTGTCGAACATCATATAAAACCAAATGGTCAACTCTGTTAAAAGAACAGTTAAGGCAAGACACATAATGAGAACCAGACAATTCAAGCTAATTTAATAGACAAAGTATAATATGTGCACCAGATGACTATGAGTCTAATATCATATGGACGTGTGTCAAGAACAACCTCCAGTGCAACATGAAGAAATGGACCAAGCATGAGACAAAGATAAGAAGAAAGTCAACAACGCATAAGACGAAGGATAGAACAGACTGAAAGACACTCCAGACGGAAACAATGTCTGATATTCATATTGTTGACCAGATCAAAAGAAAAGTCAAAACATTAAATTCAGACGCTAAGACGAAGATCAAGATTGAGATGCACAAGACCAATAGACAAAGAAAAAGACTGCCACGCAAGCAAGTAAAGAATCAAGTCTCAAGAGACAAACCAAGGCATCATCTACGACCACACAAAAGCTCTCAACGTAAACACGTGATCAAAGAGAAGAAAAGAAGAAGAAGAAAAGCACGCAAAAGCAAAAGCATGCATGTGTCAGAAAAAGTACATCACTTTTTCAGTTAAAGAACAACACTCTACAACTATGTGACCAGAAAAAGACAAAAAAGTTCCTAGATCTCTGCTAAATTCAGACACTGCTACTAACAAGGCAAAAAAGACTTCACGCAAGGTCTGTCACAAGAAGCAACATTTAATGCAAGAACTCAAGCATTAAATGAGTAGATTAAACTAGTCATAAACGACTATATCTGCTTCAACGGACACTTGCAACGGGCAGATTCTACAAGACAATATATATATATATATATATATATATATATATATATATATCACTATCTCAAACCTTGGAAGGTTGGCTTCCATGTTTGCATTCTTAACCAAGTGATATCAAGCCCATGAAACAACGAAACCAGAGATAGAGCGTATAAAGTCGAATGTACCAATAGTGTATTCATCTATGTAAACTAAGGAGTTCTAAACATGTGTATCTTAGGAACAAAACCTTAGTGAGTGTATCAATTTATGTATCCTCTCTGTGAGAGCAGACCAAATACTCAATCATTATAAAGACTAATGTTACATACCTTAGTGAGTATAGAAACCTATGTATCCTCTTTATGAGAGTAGCCCAAACACTCAAACCAAATCTATTTAGTCATCATATGTAAAGCCTGAAGAGGCTAGGGAAAGGATACTTGTAAAGCCTCGAGGGGCTTGTCAAAGAATACTCACTACGAGCCTAAAGATAAAGAATACTAGCATTGATGAGTGAAGTCCACGGGTCAGGAGTTGGTCGAGAATACTCACTACGAGCCAGAAGTGGCTGATCAAAGAATATTAG